ATCAGTATTCTCATGTGCACCAGTCAATGTCACCACAGAGACTAAGAAGCCCCTTGATGTTGGAGCTGGTACAAAAATGCTTTTGATATTTTTGGCTTTCTGAGTAATTGAAGCATTGAGCTGCACCGGTACTACTGACATAAAAACCAATGCTTCGACTGATTCTATACACATCCCGGCATGGTGTGGCAGTTTTACAGCAGGAAAGATAGAGGACGCAGTCTGGTATTGCTCTGTACTCCAGCTCCTTGAAGGATATGGTCCATTGAAAGCAGTGGGCTTTGCAAAGCTTTTAAGGCCAACCGGACTACATTTTCCAAGCACCTAAATATTCTGTCAGTGCTTACTTGATATCTTTACATCTCAAAAACTCTTCTACAACAACTTATTCTGAAAAAAATGTTCATATGTAATTCTGGATATATTAACAGGCAAGGAAGAAAATTACTATATACAAAGACCTAACACTGATGTCTAAGAAGGCATTATTTTTTAATTCCATTAAACTAAATGCATGTGATTAAAGACAGACAACTATGTAAACTAGATTCCTGCAAGATATTACTGAATCGAGTAAAAGAGATATTATGTTTGTGTGGTTTAACCTCATTAAGATTTATTTAGTTGTCCCAGATTAAAATATCTACTGTAAACCAAGTCAGCTGCAGTTATTTCTCTTCTAACAATAGGATCATCTTATACAACAAGGATAAATAAATAACTTTTAAATTAAATATCTGGTGCTATGAAGAAGCCAACTTTGACCATTAACTAACTTACAAGAAAAATCAAAGGTTTGTCAGATTTAGGAATTCTTTTTTGGGGAGGTAGGTTTGGTTTTTGTTTCTGTTTTTTTGTTTGGTTGTTGTTATTTTTTCTTTGTTACACAAAGCTCAGTAAGGCAATCCTCAGGAAAATAAGGTGTATTTCCCAAACCAGATTGTATAATTTGGCAGTTGTATCTTTAGTTTCCTTAGTGGAAAAAGCAATAGTCGTACCATATGAAGTCACTCTGAAGGCATCCCAAATAAAGGACTGAAGACAGTCAGGACACTAATTTATGCTGAAGAAAGAAAAGACTACTTTATGAAAGAATGTAGACTGTAAAAATCATCCAAGAGGCATCAGTTAAACCTTTCTTGGAATAGTTATAGCCGAGAAGAGAATGGACACCAACCACCAACTACATATTGCATAACAGGTGATAGAGGAAAGCACCACCAAATGGAAAACTATTATAACCCATTCAAACACAGAATTTTTCCAAACCATGGTTTTAAAGGGAGAATTGTGTAACACTCCCTTTTTCAAACCCTCCTTCATAAGATTCCTTATAAAGTAAGTGCAGCTAATGAGAAAACTATCAAGTACTGTAACAGCTATAGTCTTACAGAGCACTAGATGACAATTAGGGAGAAGAGCACACGAGGAGTGATTATGCTTTAGGTTACTCCAAGTAAGTACTGAAATACATACTGAAAGCAATTCTTACACGCTGATTTTAGAGAAGACAGAAATAAGAGCTTATCACAAAGTTCTCCAAGAACTGTCACCACTGATGATAAAAGGCACCTAGCAGGAAGAAGGCAAACACCATGTTCTTTGGCAGCTATCCATGGTATTGGCACACCAGTGGATTTATCCAGTTGCTTTCTGAAGTTTTGCAGAACTCCTGTGAGGAAGCAGAAATCTGTACTACATGGCTAATTTTACTTCTGGAGAAAGAAAAAAAGAAAACCCAAAAAATTTAAAGCATTCTGCAAAGGACTTTCAAACTAAAAGGACTATTTGCTGTGAAATACAGAAAACAGCCAAAGCTAAACCACAAACTCCTGTTTCATAAACAATTGCAGGAAATACTAAAATCCTTCTGTATCATACTTATCTTAAAACTAGAAGACTAACATTTTATAACCCATAATAATCCTGCTTAGATATCCTCTGAAACACCACTGCACTTCCTCAATAATACGTAATTGTAACTATGAAAAGTATTTTTTTCAAAAGTTTCTGCTAAGCCTAAAAACAACATCCAATTCAACAATGTACATTTACAGCCTTTCTACTATCTAGTGCTTGTGGAGAAAGAATTTTTGTGGTTGGCAAAGGGGAAATTTTGGATAACACAACATTCATGTAGACTTGCATGTCCTAGTAGACTACACCAACTGTAATTCTCCAGTCTGTCCAGAGAGCGATGGAAGATGATTTTGCCATACAGGAACATACTGCCTAAAACCACGCAGAATGAGGTGGCACAGGATGGGAAATTACTCTGAGCTGACAGTGGCACTCAAGGCTACACAAACCTGCAGTTAACAGCTCCCTGCTGTTAAAGAAGTATGGATAAAGAAACTTGAGAGAGCTTGTCTGCGCCCAGCTTTTGTTCCAGACTGAACACCACTAAACAGCAAGCCAGTCCTGTTTAAATTGCAAGTACTTCCACTGCAACTCCAGGTATTGATTCATAGAATGAGAGCCATAAACATAAAATTAATTTAACTGGGGGGAGCCAAAAGGAGAAGAAATCAAAATAAATTATGTCATACTTAACTGTAATGCAACTACAGTAAAAATTTAAATTCCCTATTTAAATAGAGTCTTCATCACAACAACTACACTGGCATAACTGCACTGAGGGTGCCCGCTGGCAGAGATATGGCTTAATGTTGACAGAAGATGTTTTTCTGCTGACATAGCAGTCCCATTATTTCAAATAAACTTTGTTCTTTCCTTTCAAAAGTGGATTTTTTTTCAGTGTGCTGTTTCCTTGACCCGTCCGCACTGCCACAGCTGGGCCTGCTCCCCCAACTGATATGAAGTTTCACATAATTTCCAAGTGAGGAATTGCATTCCTCAAGTCAAAAAACTTACCTATTTTAGCTTTCTACAGTTATTTTTAAACTTTACATTCACTAAGTGGGATAAATGCTAATTACTGTGACTTTAATATCAACCAACAAAGCTGATTCTGGGAAGACAGATAAGGCTCAAACTTAAGGATATTTAAGTGTAGCACAACTCCTGAGATTCTTCTAAAAGACTTCATGAAAAATGATTCTCTCCCAATAAATCTATGGGCTAGCATTATATAAATTTCAGATGAGGAAAATGGTTAAGTAACAAAAGAAACTGATGAGCACAAGGGATGGTCCACTTTGATATTAAATTGTCTTCCTTCCCAAGGCTTCTACACAACTCACGTACCATACTTCAAAAGATTAAAAGGTGAACTTTACCTGCTATTACAAAAGCATTTTTTCTTTGTTTCTAAAAAACCCAAATATGAAAAAATAAGCACTAAAATACCACAGAAAAACTCCCTGTGCATAAATTACCGTATTTTAAAAATACAAATTAATATTAAAGATAATTGCTTGAATACTGCCTTTCCAATCACATACTGCCACAAGATGTAGAGCAGTAACGTACTGAATGCATTTTCAGTTTTTGCTGCACTAAATTGAGTTAATACTTGAGAAAGGGAGAGAGGTTGTCCATGCTCTGGGAACCTGTCCTGAGTATCACTATTAACAGATGAGTAGAAGAGTGCATTAGAAAATATTTTTTAAATGTGAAATTGTTTCTGATCTCACTTCCTGGAGCTGAGCTCTGACTTCTTTATGTGGGTGCAACAGCACATACAACCTGTAGGGCTGAGGTGCCTGTGCTGAATGGCCCTTCATGGAGCACCAGGAAATACACCAGAAAGACAGAACTGAGGAAACTTCATCTGCCCAGGTGCTTCTGCAATGAACTTTCCAGGGTAGTTCACAATACCAGCATTTCTAAATTTTTCCCCAAACACCCCAAATTTGGCTATTCTTGAATTAAATGGAAATCAGTCCAGACCTTTCATTTAAAACCATCAGGTTTCTAGCTGGCAAATGTTACAATCATATTTCAAATAACAATTGCAAAGAGGGCAAAAAAAAATAAGAAAAAAAAAATCAAAACCATGAAGAGTTTGGGGCTTGAATTTCAAAGTACGTTACACATTTTTAAATAGTACTTACTGTGAAAAATACAGCACAAACAGGAAGCTCAGTTACAACTAACATTTTTCTTAATATACCTTCTTCCCCCCTTAGAAATAATATACCATGCTTCATGGAAGCATATTATTTACATCTCTTACATTTGAAGAAAAGAATGTACTTTAAGAACCCTAACTAGGAATCACTGGTCAACCACAATAAGCTATGATATTAAGCTGGTACATACCCTTTTCAGTAACAATGACAACAGGGTGGAGTGTTCAAAATGGTATTTATACCAACAAAAAAATATTTCTTTAAAGTTTAATTTTGAAGTTCAAGACTATTGTCTGTTCTGGAAACAAAGAAAAGAATTCTGCACAAGTCTGAATTCTGGAGACTTAAAAGCCCACACCCAGAAATATGGTAACATGAAGACTGACGAGCTAGTAACTTTGAGAAAAATGTATTATTTCAAACACAGTGACTGGATGCTGATAAGCACATAATTTTTGCTGCAGTGATTTAAAAAGACAGCTCTCCTTAACTATCACTTCAACTCTGTTGGGTAGGCTAACATATCCTCAGAGGAACATGCAGAAGGGAATGGATGTTTACATTTCTGCTGGACAATACCGTAATTTAGTATTTTAACACAAACCTATATTTGCTGCAGACACTGTTACATTTGCATGGACTGTAGCTGAAGTGGCTCAGGTACAAGCACACTCACTATTCCACAAATGCAGCTGTGAGTGCCCCTAGCTTCTTAAATTGTCCAAGTGTGAGTCACCTGAATTTACTACTCAGTAACCGCACAGAAATGTCAGTGCTGACATATTAAAAGACAAAGAAATAACATTTTTGCTGAATCATTTTTAAAATGGCTGGTAAATACTTACTGAAGTTTAACCCACGAGACTACATAACCTTCATTTGTAATATTAAAGGCTAAGAAATATCTAAGAAATTTCTTTTTGCTATTTTTAATTAATAAACATACAAAATTAAGAACCACCTTACCTGACAGAATTTTGTTTCCTGTTTTCTATTTTCATTAAAATTTGTACATCTGACTGAGGAGACATTGTATAGATTTTTAATCTGAAAAAAAAAGCAAAAGAGATAAAGAAACAATGATGTACAATGACTTTTCTTCCTATCATCCATGAAAGAGGGATATCTTTTGCATGTTAACAGTCAAAAGTATATCTTCCTTCCTAAAGACAATAATTGGCAAAATACTAAGTATTTCCTATAAATGAAGGCTATAATTACTTGTATATTTTTCAAATTACTCCAAAGAAAAGACTCACCATCACCCTCACTGAGGTTAATTATGGTTACATTTTTTAGAATTACAGTTGCTTTATTTGATCTTTATGCCTTGAGTCAATTTCTTAATCTTTTCCTTAAATTTGGTGGCTGTACTCCAGGGTTAGTTGGTTAGTGAATGTGAGAATGGTTTTCATCACAGGAATTAAAGATGTACTGCTGACTGGGAACTCAGTTCTGCATGCTGGAAATGCAGCTAGTTTAAGCTATTTAATCAGAACCATTCCCTTACTGCATTAGATGAACTAGGCAGAAAAGTTATTCAGTACACACCTTTGACAGACTACAGGATCTGCCTCCACTGGATCAATGTACGGCTTAAGGATATCAGCAAGTGTTTTATCGTCAGGCACCCTTTCATCAAAGATAAAAATCAAATACATAAGACATGGTTCATCATGTACACAAAAATTTATTATGTGAGTCATTTGGAGGAAGCTGTACATTTTCACACTACAGTGGCACAACGGAGTAGTTTATGGGAGGATCATAAATGTGTATCAATACAGCATAGGTAATTGACAGCTTTATCTCAGTTTCAACACTGGGACTTTGCTGGCATCTACAAGGAGTAAACAGATGCATATCTCCAGTTTCTAACCCTGCAGCAGGTACATCCTGTTCCTACAGCCCTACAAGCAGACAAGGGTATACTTCTCATCACCCTCCAGGCTAGGAAAAAAAGGAGAAAGATTTGTCAACAAAAGCTTATTTTTTTGGCCTTTGCAAAATGTGATTGTGGGATTTCTGACGAAGCAAACAAGGCAACAATTTCATCCTATATGAAGGTCATCTCCAGTGGGCAGGTAAGAAGGGATGGCAAATCTTGCTGAACTGTCTGCTCCATGAGAACAGAATATGTTAGGTGTATGGGATATCACCATCACGAATATACAAGTTTCTCTATTTACATAGAGAAAAGGACTAGCAATCAAAGATTTTGCCAAATTTGAAAACCCCACTAGCTTTCAAAGAGGAAAGGGCTACACAACTTTAAGTATTTTTTTCAATTTAAATGCCCTTTTAATTAAGACGAAAAATAATATTCAAGTTGATGTTGTATAATAGAAGTAGGTAAGAACTGATCAAAATGTTTTGCAGTTCAATTTCAGCAGACTAGTTTAAAAGTTAAAAAAAAAATCTGTTTTTCAAGCTCTGTACCTTTTTAAAGTGTATTCAGCATGACAGTGAGGAAATACAAGCTTCAAATGCCAATAGAACTTTTTCTCCCTGAAAAGAAAAAGAAATGCATATTCTTAATGCTAGCTGGTAACCGCTACTTGTTTTTTCTATGATAAAGCTCAGTAGCCTACAACGTGGTTGCAGAAGAACATATATAGTCAAGATTTTGAATGGCACGCAGAGAAGCTGCAAGGCACTTTGAAAGATGCACTACTCCTGGAGCCTGCTGAATTTCAAGTCCTCATGGGATAAAAAAAAATCTGTTCCTTAGAAATACAGGTAAGATATCACCAATTAACTGACCAACAGCATTTCACATTTTAAGAGAGAATATCTTCCAGCTGATTTTCTATATGTATAGCTGCCTTTTTAATTCAGAAAAGGAAAATGCTTTTTGGCACCCAGGACAGAATGTCAAACCTGTGCAACAGTAATAGCCAGGGGTCCCAGCTGAGGACAGGTTATACATAAAACAGGGGCCTCACCTTTTCACAGCAGTGATTACCTAAATAGAAAATGTGTCATGGGCAGGGAGGGAAGCTCCAACTCGGCATAACATGGATAACAGAAGTTAGAAAGAATAAGTGTTTTACAGAAAGATCAGGAAGCTTTGGTAGAGACCAAAATTGATGTCATGTTCCCTTCTCTAGTTTGTTAGGTTAAAGACTCATTTTCCCATTTCAGCTAGCATAATTCATACCTGAGAACAGAAGCTACTGAAGCATGGTTCCAGTGCAATAGCATCTTAACAAAGGCAGTATCACCTGCAGAATACTTTGCTAGATTAGGAAATCTCTTTTGCCTTTTTACTCACCTGCAGTAACACTGCTGAAGTCAATATTGACTTAAGACAAAGCATTTTTCCTTCCATTGCTCCAAATTTTCCCATTTGGTATGGTGAGTGTAACAATATTTTTCTAAAAGAAATCTCCTAAGACAAAGCACAGACTAAAAGGTAGAGTGCATGTCCCTTTGCTCTGGTTCAGAATTTTACACTCACGACAAACTGCAAAGACTTGGAGGAGGAAGGAGGGAGCTACTACCATTTACAAATCGGAGGCCAGACATCTATATGAAGCACAGGAACATCTAATGGTACTCCTCCTCTTTAAAAAAAAAAAAATAAATAAAGATAAATTTTAACACTACTTAAGATCTGTGAATCCTTATATCAAGGATCATCATCATCAGTTATGCAAAGATTCCGATACTAGAATTAAAAGTAAACACAGTGTTGTTCCAACATGTTAACTTGTTTATCAGGCAGATGAAACATTATCCAGCAGGTTCTTGTTGACATTCATCCAGTAGCAAAACAGTAAACAAGTTGGCTGCTAAGTTCGATTAACTATGATACCAATATTTAAATGCAAGCACTTTATAAGAAGCACTCTTATCAAATAAATAATCATTCCCTTACCTAGTCATTCCTAGGAGAAAACTGAAAACTTTACAGCTGAACTATACTTCCTGTAGTATAAGTAAAATCAGAAGTGTTAGTGCTCACAAAAAAAAAAAAAAAGCAAGCAAGAATCCTAGCTCCAAGAAGCTAATAATTAGAATAAAACAAACTAGTGAAAGCCAAGGTCCCCAAAGCAGCATGTGACTCAGCAAAGTTGTGCAGCACACCTTGTGATTCTTTCCCTCTACCTGGTCATGTTTGTTAAAGCTGAGAATGAGAGTGCTTTCCTTAGATGAGAAGGTGAAGTTAGAGCACATTAGGTCTGAAAGAGGTAAGAAGATTGTATGACCAGAGCTGGAGGATAACACAGAGATCATTATTAATTACATAGCATATAAATAACCAGAAGCTGACATAGTATCTTGCCTCATGAATTTTATGCTATTTTGCATATTGGTATGATACTTAAATTAACAAACCGAAAAAGGTTTTGAAATAAGTCAAAAGCAGTGAGTGGAATTTCTGATGTTTTTTACAAGATGGGTGAAACAAGGTTGTGCAATTCTTCATCTTGACAGCTAAAGGAAGCATCAATGCTACCACACAGAACAAACCGGAGTATCGACAGGGTTATGGAATCAGTTCAGTTGACTTGTGGTTAACAAGCTCGTGATTCCTCTCTCGGATGTATGTTAGTATCTGGCATTTAATACAGTATGATATTAATTGAAAGCATGTTCTCAAGGAGACTTTAGTAAAAGTTGATAATCTTTAGACATAGAAATAGGGTCACCATCATTAGCCACAGGAAACACTAATGATGGGCACATTTATTAAAGTACTTATATGGAGTGTTCAGATGAGGTTTTCTTAATATGTAATCAACTACAATAGGGCTTTCTAGCATTTTTCCCTGTAACTCATGATCTTTCACTACTTTTTTCAAACAGATCATGTTTTCCTACTCTAAGTGATCAACCCTTCCTGTGATACAGGCTTTCTTCTTGTCAGTTTTATAAACCAAGAGAGCCAAAGCGATGGGGGTACTGCAGATCTTCCTCTCCCAAGTGGAAACACACAAACCGTGACACAGTGCACAGAAACATGTATGTGGCCTAGAGGGCTGTCTCCAACACAGGCACTTAAAAAAGAAACACTCCAGAAGTACTTCTAGCTATCTGCAACTTGTTGGGAATACTCTCCACATGTCTGCACAAACGGTCATCACAAAGCACATTCTGATTTCACATGCAAGACCAGTTCCCTGCGGGCTCACTGAGGCAGATTCAGCTCATCACTACAGCTGTATAATCAGCTTAAGAGGGATATTTTCAGACTTTCACTCTCCCTCCCCCTTCCAGGCACAACCTAGTCTATGGAATAGTGCACAGAAAGAGCTATTACTTGTCAAAAAGTTGCACTTTGGAAAAAAGAGAAATGTTGGGGTTTGGTTTTTTCCCAGCACATTAATACCAAAACTGCAGTTAATTACTTCATATGTATTCCAAGTACTCTCAGCTGACAGTAAATGGCAAGCAGAAAGAAGTAAGAGATTAAGAACTAGGTAGAAGAAGGCAAGGAAAAACGAAGCTTGGAATAGCTTCATACTCTTCACTGTACAACGAAGTCTTGAAAACAACTTGCTGGGTGCCTGTTATTAAAGGGAAGCATCGCTCACCATCACTGATCTCTGCCCAGTTAGAGAATTTGATGTCAACTGTAGATGCTATCAAAGCTGCTTCACATCAAGTTCTGATTAAAATTAGATATCCTGGCTCCAGATCTCACTGACTTCATTTTCCATTATGGCTCACTGGGATAGTATTTCCTTCAAATACAACTGACATACACTATGTTCATTTTCTAAACGAAAATGCTTAATTGAGTAAGTCATCCGCAGTTGAGTAACAGCTCCCTGCATGAAGTGCTCGGTGCTGCTCAGCTGCCACAGAACGCCACGCCACCGTCTTCCTGAATGCCAAGGCACTGACTGTAAAACTACCAAACGGCAGAGACCTGGATGAGGCACAAGCACATCCCTGATGTCAGTAAAAGCACCATTATAGCCCATCGCTGCACTGCTTGGCTTCGCATCCTATTTTGGCTATTTCAGAAGCATGGAAACTGATCAGAGAGAAAAAGAGGAGCCAAGCACCTCTTCCTCTGCGTGAGACGTAGTTGCAAATTAGGTTCAGAAATGCACCGGCTGTTTTGCAATTGCTGTTCTTCTAAAGCAAAGTAACTTTCTCCTGTTCATTCCTCCTAAAACTTAAAAAAAAAATAATTTCTGCAATCAACTGTAGGTTTCACAGAACTACATGTAAATGATTTTTAAATTTTTCACTGCAACAACTGAAAGATTTTTATTTCTAATGTTACAAAGACAGCAGCAGCATATATAAAGGGGCTGTTACCTCTGTCTAGCTCTCAGGACAACTGCAAAAATTGTCACTATCTTTTACTGCTCATGTAGTACCTAGGAAGATGCTCCAAGTACTGTGGCTGTAGGCAGTACAGCTGCTGGGGATTAAAGGACAGATAAAGGATTCTGGGACTTGGCCATACCACTTAAGTGCCCTGGCAAATTTTTAGGAGGGTCCAATGTTTATGTATTTCTTAAAATACTTATGAAATATCTCAAAAAACTTTACTTTCTTACCTAGGTTTCCTCTGAACAGTCTATTTTGCCCAGATTGCAGTGGAATCTATATACATAAAACCTTTTTAAATGTGTGTGTGTATATATACACACACATGTAAAATAAAGTATTGACAAAAAATTCCAAATTAAGCACATTTTAAGATACCAATTGCAGTTCTGGCTCTGCAGAAGTACTTCACTGCCAGCCTGCCAAAGACACTGATGATTTTGTTTCTAGTTAGCAATTAATATTCTTAAAATGTTTTTAAAATAGTGTACAGGACATCTTACATCAAAGGGCAAATACTGTAGTATTTCTTGTCTATGTTATTTTGAATTGATGAAAGGGATGAAAAGGACATAAAGAAGATTAAGGACCAGTTTTCCTTTAATTTGATAATACCTGGTACTCTCACCTAATGCATTTAAGTTTAATTGAAATACTAGGCATTCAGTATCTATACCTTTGAATCATAATAATGCCTTTCTCAACTTTCTTAAGCTATGAAGATTCAGACAAAGTGAGTGAATAGATTCTCTTGTAGATTAAAAGAAAAATAAAAACAAGAGAACATGCAGAAGTGTGATGATTTCCTCTGCCCTGCCATCCCCAAACTCTGCACTCCTAGTGCCCAAGTGACTTTGTTGCACTTCTAACAACAGTACACAAAAGGGTATGTCTCAGTTTTCTTGAAACTTCATCAAGCTAATTTCTGGATTTGATGTAAAAACAGTAAATCTAAAATATTTCTACTGAGAGTTCATATGTTTCCTAGTTACAGTAAACAGCAAGAAAATCAATGAAGAAACTGAAATGGACTTTTCTAACACATATGGTCTTCTATCAAGGGGCCTCCCAACAGCAGCAGATGTTACTAACCATATGTGTTGCAATAATCAAACGTGCTGGGCTTGAACTGAGAGTCCTGTATAAATCAAAGGGACACTGTCAAGGCCAAGTAACCCAAACGGTAATCATCTTTAAAGAATAAAACTATTGCCCTCTTTAACTTCTGCAAATAAATAAAATTACCATCATATTTACTATGAAAATAAAACATTTCAGTTGCTAAAAAAAAAAAATCTCAGGTACAGAACTTACTACTCATCTTCACATGAGGAATGTTCTGAAAAACTACTAATTTACTGAAATGCATGAACGTTCTGCTCTCTGATCACTCCAGAGTAGCATTCCTTTGCCTGGGAACTTACTTTGATGGGTCCTAGAAAGCAAGCAAAACTATGTACTAAGTAACAACTAACTTCAAGTTTAACAGCTCCAACAGTGTGATATTAGCGCAAAACCCAGCTCAGATAACTCCTTGGTAAATTCTCAAGATCAGCAACACCTCAAACAATTAATTTTTATTATCTCTATCTAGATAAGGATGAGAGTTGACATTTTAGGGTTTTCAGGTGTACTGCAAAGCAGCTTTTGTAACACTAATGATCTCTTAATTGATGCTAATCCCAAATCTCCACACTATATTTTGTTCTCAGAATTAAATCAAAGAAGAGAGATAACGAAAAAGATTCCTTCTTCTCCCATATATATAACCTGACTCAACACTCCCAAGCTGCAGGCATGCCTTCTACCAGTGAGGAGACTTGCAGACCTCTGGCCCCTCTTGGAAGAGAGGAGAGGGAAGAAGGATGTTGTCTGGGAGGTGCCGTGAACGGAGCGGGGAGGCAGCTGGGTGGAGATGCCCCTGCCAGTGTAAGCAGCGGTGCAGGGCAGCACAGACTGCAGAGCTGAGGGAGCTGCACTGCCCTGTCTCAGTGTCTCAGGGCTGTCATCACCTCCTGCCAGGGAACCAGGAGCCACAGAGCTGCTGGCTCCCTCCCTTCTTCCCATTTTCCCAGCCCTCATCCCAACCTGGTCACTTCCTCCATGCCTTTTACAAAGGCTCCCTGTCCCAGCAGGCCACCCCAACTCCATGGCAGCACACACTCAGAAAGGGAACTATCCCTTTTATTGGCAAATAAGGACACCATGAGAAAGGCAGGTGAAGCAGCACGTTACAAATAATTTGTGAATAAGGCGTCCTAAACTATCTCCAAGTCAGATGTCCCATCACAAACTAGACTCACACTCTACTTTCTAATGTTCCTCCATTACTTATATACTCAGTACTACAAGTTAGTCCAAACCAATGTCTTGCTCAGCATTGTCACATGTGCTTTCACAACATTGAATTTAGCAAACAAACTAATGGAAACCAGGAAATGAAGAGTCTGGTTAACACATCTGAACAACCATTGATCTGTCCTCCAGAGCTGGCAGGGGCAGGAGATGACACAAGAATACATCTTGTACTTCCTAGTTTTGGATCACTCTCATTCCTGCCTTGTACAATCTAACAGCTTGGCTCACACTGAGAGTGTGACGAGGACATCAGAGAAGACTGTTCTCAGATTTCCATGCACATATGTACAGCAGCTTCTAATTTCCACCCTCTGGAGCAACCCCTCTACAAATCTTGACTGACAAGGGGTTCAGATCTACAGAAGAGTAGACATATCACTATCAAGTGTTAAGCTCATATAAAGGAACTGTTTGCACAGCTTTACCCCATTTGTATGTAATATTCATCAAAATGTTATGGGTGTCATTAAGTCACATGGGATAGGTGTTAAATGGCTGAAACTCACTGGTTTAATCAAACCTCAGGTTGGATTCCTCAAGAACCATGTAAGGAGAATAAGCAAAACATGCCAATTAAAAAAAACAAAAACAACAAAAAACCCCAAACAAACTAAACACCAAGGTTAGTTTTTAATGTTTTATATTGAGGAAATTCCCTAGGAAAGTTTAACTTAGCTCTAAGCCTGAGATACTTCAACAACATGAGAATAGCACAAGATATGTGTAAAAGGTAGAGCATATGGCCAAGGAAAAGAAAGTCAGTGCAGAGACAGTCTCTGCTCATGTGACTAACACCTGCAAGGTTTAGGGCTATCCCCTGGTCTGTTGTGAGGGAGAGCCTCAGTGAGGTATAAATTTGGGATGGATGGATGAGAAAACGCCCCAGATTTCCTTTCTTTCCATTGACCCAGCCCAGGTTTTCTCTAGCAGAATGCCTACAATATGTAACTTTGAAAGGTTACGCCCTTACATCTATTTTATGCCTTATGTTCTGCTAAAAGTTAAAATATCTGCAAAACCAGAAAACTAAGCTTTTGTCCCAGAACAAGAAGAAATGATAGAGGCAAGCCCGCTGAGCAGTTGCTCAGGCTGGTTATTACTTTGTCAGAGAGAGACTCCTGGTGGCTGGTCAGCGCCCAGCCGCCAGCACCGCACCCGGACAGACACCGACCGCGCTCTGCACGTCCCAGACAGCAGAGGAAAGAATCCTGAAAGCAGAACTGGCCACCAAAACTGAGACCATGAAGAAAACAAGTGAAGGAGCCATCAAGGGTAACTGGCCCAGCTGATTACTGCGAGAAGCTCAGAAGGCATTTATATTTGCCAGCTGACCATCCAGCTGAACTCTAGACCTGTTTCCTGCCATTATGATTTTTTAAAATTTTATTTTTATTGCGAAAATACTTTAAAATACAAACTCTGGATATCAGAGAAAACCCACAGAGTGGATAAAGGGAAGAACACTTAAAGTCTTCTTAGCCTTTTTCCTGAATTTGTATCTGCATCTGCACATGTCTCTCTAAGCTGTGCCATATCAGGCATCCGTATCTACATCCTCCAGCACAGCAACTCCTAACACGGCGTGCGCCACAGGTAACTGTACCTGCAGCAACTCGTCACACTTACAGTCAGCGTTTCCAGAGAGAGGGATTTTTGCAGTCACTCTGTATCAATCCTCTATTATAAACTTTAAAAGAAGTGGTTTATTTTTCCAGGAACAAAACTCAATGATAATTAAAAGGTGGAAAAACACAACAGCACTGATTCTTCCTCCTGTTACTCAGTGCTGGTATTTTTCAAAATAAAGCATGAATCGTATAAGCTCTTAAACTGAGCTCAGAGAACCTAAAAAATGAAAACTTGCAGTACAAAATAGTAAATCTAGATAGCTTTTGTAAGAAAATTGTGCACCTAACAGATTTTAAAAGCAAGCATATCGGTATGAATTCAGATTTCATAACTATGCATTTAGTGAAAACAAAACATTGCTGACTGTAACCAGCTGAAAACTCACATGCAATTGAAGGTGGTTGAATTTTCTCTTCTTTTTGTAAATCCAATGGGCAGAGTTCTCAGGTCAATATTACATCTTCGGGCTTTGTTTCTCAAGCCATATAACTAGCAAAAAATAAAAACAATTTTTTTTTTTCTTAAAACCTGAATAATATATTCTAGACTTGAAAGTTAAGCAATAAAAGAGTAAGGCTGACAGGAATTATGAGAAAATCGCAGAAAAGGCCACGTTTAATGAAGTACTTTCTTTAACTTAAAAAAAACCCCAAACTATAATGAATGAAAAAGTTAATAAAGTAAGCCTAGAAACTACCTGAAACATTTTCAAGTGCAGTTTTTCCACGTTTAAAAAACATGTCAATGACCTCTTTATACTAAAAGTCCTTTAACGTACCATGAAGGCCACAGACAGCCACTGGGGGTGTAAGGCCACCCATGGAGCTGTTTCTTTGGGCTACAACTCTGCCAGCAGAAGGGGTGCACATTCTTTCCCTGGGAATTTTGTACTTAATTCAAAAAAGTTCTGGGGGTGGAAAGAAACATTCAGGCTTTCTTAACACACAGCTATCATCAAAGAGCAAGAATGGTCATGCATCAGTTGTAAAAGTGTACATTGTTAGCAACCTACTATTTTAAGCAATCAGATGTTGTCATCAATACTATTATTACATAAACATAGAGACTTCTGACTTCTGTCTCTAAAATACAAGGTCATTCATACCTTAGTAAGAGAGGTATCAGCTCTGAAATCTAGATTAGGACTGTCTCAGTCCTAATCAAGGAATTCAAAGGTAGCCAAACCTATCTCCAACAGACCAAGCTGCTAATTTAAAACTTACAAGTTTTTTTGTTGTTGGACTATGCACAGTAGGATGACGAGCAGCAGCATCAGCTGTCCTTCCTACATCTTCCAGGAAACGATAATCTGAAAGTAAAAAAAGAACAAGGAAAAATGTAGTGCTAAACTAGTAAAAACAATGAATTTTAAAAAGTACAAGGAATATTCTTACCACTCAGAAGGTTCAAGTCAGTAAAGTCATTTACAGCAACAAATGCTGTTTTATCCCTGACTCCATTACAGCTCAGTGCAAGCTTATGCTTCTTTACACACAATAGACTGCAATGACAAAAAGAAACACATTAACATGCCATGTTCAGCACGAGTGGGGGAAAAAACCAAAACAGTTCAATTCAGATAACAGATACCTGCACGAATATTTCATACATCGTGGACATCTGTACTTAGCTTCCTCTTTGCTACATGTTTCACACCTGAAAGAAGTAAAAAGTACCTCTTAATAAAGCGGTATTTTTGTGCCTGACTGGCCTGGGAAGATGCCTGCTCAACAACCAGGCACTACGCCATTGATCGGCATTTTCAGGAACGGTTACCTGAACCTTAAAGAAAAAAGAGACAATACAAACATCTGGGATTAGATAAGGTGGCAGACAAAATAACGCACGCTATGGGGAGTATCTCCAAACACATACGTAGGTCTCACCTAGATTAAAACACCACAGATGCTTGAAAGAAAGAGAAAACCCCTATGCTAACTGCAGAGCAATGGGAAGCACAGCAAGGCTGTATCAGTTTATGCTTTGTGGCCTGGCTGTATCAGTGCTTTTCTCCATTTACATCACCTGTAATGCGCACTATACCATGCTGGCTTATAATGCTCCTGGTTTTGGGCAGATGGAAAATAAATGTTGAGGCTTCACACTCAAACCTGAACACTGCATCCCATTTTTTCAATGAAGCAGAAAAACCATGATAATATCATCAGCAAAATTATTTTGGCTGTTAGCAGTCAGTGAACCTCTCAGGCACAATGTGCAAACTTTATGAATATAGCTAACGAATATTATCTCATTAAAAAAAAGTTTCCTCTACAATCTTCTGCTTTTTTACTAGGCTACTACAACAGATGCCTCTCCTATTCTTAGGAAAAGCGTTCTGACATATTAACTGAAACAATCACAATTTTTAATTTATTTTAACTCCAACAAACAGCGAAGGGAAATAACCCTCCTTCCCCATCAGTCAAGTTTTCAAGAATGTCACAAACCCACCACTTTTAGCTACCAGAAGGAAAATGTAAACATCAAACTATCCTTCTTCCTCTCCCCACCACGCGCTTGCTGCTAGCTGTCGGCGAAGGTGTGAGGGGCAAGCTCAGCAGTACAGTCTGGCAGCACCAAGTATTAGAAGAACAGAAAAAAAGCGTTTCATACACTGGAAAACAGAAACAGGAATTACTGTGAACGAGGTTTCCTTTATCCCTTTGCTCAGCACCTCCACAGGCCCCAAGTGCCTCCGCGGTTCCGCTGCAACCTCCCCACGCCTCACCTGCGCGCAGACCCCACCTAACGCGCACA